TTTTTCAACTGTAAACAGTATTCACACATAATACACACACGCTTGATGTCAAAATTGTGAGATTTGTTTAAAAAAAAAAAGCCTAGTTAATTGTCAACTGTTCTGACAGCAAACCAACATTCTTTTTGGAAACACTCCTACAGTTTGCTCTGATTTGTAAAGTTGGTTTTTCGAGAACAAAAACCACTGAAGTTATTTTCCATCAGGAAGAACGCATACTCTTAATGAAGCCTGTCAGAAACAAACCCAAAATGCACTTTCCACTCAGCCAGATGTCAAGTGCATCTCTTGAGATCCATTTCACCTTCATAAGATCTTTTGCTTTGACGAATAAGTGAAAATTTCATGGTTAAGTGATCTAGATGATGATTCTGTATACACATGGAAATAAATATGAGTGCACCATAAAACCATAAAAAAATTTATATCTGTGCATCAAAAAGAAAATCACTCATAACTAACAAACCAAACATTAAGCATATAAAGTCCTGCAAAAGTCAGAGTGAAGTGAAAATTCCCAAAACATATTCCCAGCTCTGTGATCTAATTACATATACATATAGTAAAAATAACTATGCCTGTTTATATCATGATTTAAAGTTATGCTTATTAACTACAGAATAATTTTAGAAGAGTTTCTTAATAATTAATAATTGAACACGATTAGTTGAATTTTAGATAGCATATTTAAAGGGGTCATCTGACATTGCTAAAAATAACATTATTTTGTGTATTTGGTGTGATGAAATGTGTTTATGCGATTTAAGGTTCAAAAAACACATTATTTTCCACATACTGTACATTATTGTTGCTCCTCTATGCCCCGCCTTTCTAAAATGCGTAGATTTTTACAAAGCTCATCGGTCTGAAAAGCAAGGTGAGCTCTGATTGGCCAGCTATCCAGTCCATTGTGATTGGCCGAATACCTCAAACGTGTGACGGAAATGTTACGCCCCTACCATATTGTGGTAACGTGTCCCGGTGCGACGAGACAAAAACAATAAAACCCATTATAAATGAGGCATTTGTTGCATCCAGTGGGGACATAATTACTGATTATAATGACTTATACTGCCTTGTGACAGCTGAAAACTCATCTCTTTCGAAGCTACTTGACTTCATCAAAAAAATAAATTAAAACAATTATCTCTCTTTATTTATTCCTTCTCTTTCTAGCTTGTACTTATTTGAACAATGTCTAAGAACTTGGTATTACAACCACTTCTTGTATCTGTTTGCCTCTTTAAGAAGAATCGCTTTATGTATCCCCCAATTGTAAGTCGCTTTGGATAAAAGCGTCTGCTAAATGACTAAATCTAAATCTCAAAACTCGCGTTTGAATCGTCAGTGGCAAATTCTTTGAATATGAAAACATACTTGCAGGCTGTGAGTCAGAACAGACGGATTGTAGGCTACTATCCCAGGATCAGAAAACAGTCCTCCATAAAATGCGTTGCACACATCTGAATATTTGGGTTGAACTGTTCTGGAACAGTGTTGTAAATACAACTTAACCACTGATTTCTAGTTGTGTCCTCTTTTGGAAGGCCAAACAAAGTAGTTTCGCTTTCACAACTAAACACACAGCGTCTCCACGACATGGCAGCGGTAACAACAATACTACAGCAAGAATCAAAGTTACGCCTTCTTTCTTTGCGTGAACATTTGGGCGGTGTTATGCAAATCTTCCTACACAGTGACGTAGGCGTGTTTAAACTAGGCGTTTTAGGGGGGCGTGGACGAGTCTTAACTTTTATAAAAAATATCTCTTTGGGTTTGAGACTTTAGTCTTTGCAACTTTAGGGATCTTATATATTCACAAACAGCTTGTAACACTCCAAAGAGAAAGGAAAACTTGAAATCGCATCAAATGACCCCTTTAACATGCAAGAATTCAGAGACAAAGGGAGTGAACAATTTGGAAGGACATACTGATGGAGAATTCACACTGCGCTTTTGCAGAAAGGTTTCATATACAACATTGAAGTAATTGCTGTCAGCCCAAGACGGTGCAATGGGAATACTGCCAGAGGCAAATAGAGTACAGTAGGTGTTCCAATTTAAAGACTCACTCAGTATGGGTTCGAGAGTGGGGGAAAAGGGAAATTAACATATTAGCTGGCATATGGTTGTGATGAAAACCTAATGGCTACAGAAATGCAGTGCATTTTTAGCTATAATGATGAAAAACTGACCAGGTCAAATATAAGTTCCAACTACTTGCCTTACTGTGATAATAACATGTTCTTGGAATTTAAAGGGACAGTTCACCCTAAAATGTAAAGTCATTAATTACTTACTCTTATGTCATTCCAAACCATTTTAAGCAGCGGACAATTCTGCTTTTGTGTTCGATGGAGGAAAGTCTAGCAAGTTTGGAGTGACATGAGGGTGAGTAAATAATGACAGAACTGTTCCTCCAACTTGGTCTACTGTGGGTTCTGCATTTCTAAGCCTCTTAGCGCTTTTGCATTGTCTCTTTGTTTTCAGAGATGAATGAGTCTAAATAGGCAAATATGGCAATGATTATTCATAAACAGAAAGCATCTTTAAAAGCTTTAAGAATTTTACATGAATATTCCGTTGTGTGAGATAAGGACATGTTAATGCTTGATTATGGGCAAACAAAAGTGCTGATGAGGTGAACTAATTATGGAAGCATAATTCCATGCCACATTATTAATTACAGAGATATGACCTGTGAGCACAACTCAACAACACACACACACACACTTATAAACTCGCATAGTTCCAGAACAGTAAACTTGAGTGGTTAAAATTAGACATTAGAGCAAAGAAACATTAAGGATATGCAACATATTAAAAATAAGTAGTGCTGTCAATTTAATGTAATTCTATCAAATAAGTGCTTTGAAACATGCAACGGGAATTAATGGGGATCTCAAAAGTGGCATTCAATGCATAAGATGCTCAAGAAAACATTGAGATGCATTCAATGACAAAATGAGATGTGCCTCAATGTGTACAAAGACTGACAATTACAAACGTATTCAGTGATTCACACAATAATAATGACTTAAATGGGTATTTCGCCACTGGAAAAAGGGGCTTTCAAAAAAACTTGGCTTCCTATGCTGTTGAGAGGAGAGAGAAAAAAAAGAAGAAGAATCACAAATATGGAGAGAGCAACACAACAGAAAACCTGAAAAACCTACAGTTCGTGTTTGTAGCCTCCATTTCAAAATAGATGATTACAAACAGTGTTTTGAGTGAACTAGAGAAGAACAACTGAAATAATCAGCCATTCTGTCAGTTAACAAACAACCTTTAAAATGATCTTCTTTAAAATAACTACTGTATTGGCCCGAATATAAAACGACCCTGATTATAAGACGACCCCCCTTTTCCCAGATGTACCTTTTGGAAAAAGGCTTTTTAAAAACCAAATGTTGTCTTCAATTATTTTCATATTGCATATTTTTCCTATTTTAATTTTTGTTTTGAAAGTATGGTGAAAACTGGTAAACTGTACCAACAATCACATTTAAAAAATATACACTTTATGATATACCATTAAAAAAAAAAAAACAGGTAGCCCATCTGAATTAGGACACTTAGGCTATCCATCTAATAGTAGCCTACCAAAATATTATTAACAGTAGAAGTTAAATCTTACTGTAGTCTTCAAATCTGGGTACTGTCTTACGTTTTAAAATCACAAAGGGAGTTTAGTCCCATCAGGCTAACGTGACAGTCACGACTCATGCAGCTGTAAGGTTTTCTTTTTCTTTTGTTTTTACTCGCAATCTTTACAACACGCATTACATTATGTATTTCATGGCACACTCGTTTTATGCGTATTTGTTGCCACCTATTGTTGTGGGTGTATTATTGACATGTCAAAGTCTAGACCCTGAATATAAGACGACCGCGTTTTTTCAGATGTATTTCCAAGAAAGAAAAACATAGTCTTATATTCGGGTCAATACGGTAAATAGCCAAATTCTGGAGCTCTACTTACTTTAATAGTTTGGTTTTAGCATGTTGCTAAGCTAAGCTAACTGCGCTATTCTAGTAAACAAGAAAATGCAAAGCAAACAAATGCAAAAAAATTGACTTTTTATAAGTACTATTCATTTTTGAATATTATACACAAATATTTATAATGCATTTCTCCAGTATTGTCCACTGAATTTAATCTATTTCCATTAGGCTTGTCGCTATTCATATATTATTTATTTTTAAACAAATTATACAAATATGTATACCGTATTCCTCCTGCATTGTCCACCAACTGTTATCCTTTTTTTCCCTCCAAGCTTGTCACCATTCAAACACTAATCAACTATACAAATATTTATAATATTTATAATATAATACAATAGAAACATCCTCACTGCTGAGTTAACTTTTTTTTTTTTTTTGTAATTTGATGCAAAGTTAATAGAAAATAATTATAAATGTACACATAAAAAACGAAAATATAAAATCAAAAATCTTTGCAGGATTTGCAATGCTGATGACCGTTAAAATGCTTCATCACAGTCTGTGAAAAGAGTCCACTGTTCACCAACTTTCCAACCATTTTTTTTTTTCACTAAGCTTGTCATTTTGCAATTGCCATTTCTGTGCAGCAATGTATGCTTTAGAACTTATTAATGAGTTATTTATTTGTTTGCTTACAGAGTCAGTTTAGCATAAATGCTTTTATATTTCTTGATAAGTATCAGTTAAAGCTACATTTCAACTGTAGTTTCTAAGGGAGATCTTCACCCCTGGAGAACAATTTGGCAAAAAACCAAGGTATCTTCGAAGGCAGCATAATTACCAGAACAGCCTTCCAGTCGAAAGCGTGTCTATGCTGCTTCTGTAGGGAGCTCACTAGGTTTTGGAACGCAGCCTAGATTTTAGAAGAGCACCTGTGTTGTGCTCCACAATGCTGTGTTACAAAAGGTGTTGTATGATGAGAGAGCCGTGTAACTTACGTGAAGCGTGATGCTTAGGGTGTTTGAAATGTGAAAAACAAACTTGAGTCTCACCCAGAGTAGTTGAAGAGTCTGCTGTCCCAGAGGCTGTGTTCTCCACGGGGCCCGCTGTGGAAGAAACAGGAGTCAGAGCCGTCAAAGCTGTTCAGCCCGTCCTCTGTGTTCTTGGATGCGTGGCTGTGCACCACATCGAGCAGGACGATGATACCCAGAGAGTGAGCCACGTCAATCAGCTCCTTGAGTTCCTCAGGGGTGCCGTAACGACTGGAGAGAAGAACAGATGAAGGCAGATATCAGAGCAGTCTGGGCACAGGTTGTCTGTCAAGCTGCATGCTCTTCGTCTTGGGCTAAGCTTGAACTAGCAGCAGTCTGACTGTTAAGACCAATTATTTCAAAAGTATAGAGATATCTTTCTGAGTTTATCGCAAAACACAAGATGCACTGATTTCAGAATACAGAACATCTGCTTGCTGCAAGATGTGCTAAAGAAAATGTGAATGTGAAACACTGCTGGAGTCGGCTTTACAGTTAGAGCTGCAATGATGGCCGACGATTGCAAACTGTGATTAACAATGTTTTGTTCATGTTACTAACAGTGTAAGACAAATACACAAACAACTTAAGAAGCCATTTGTTCTGAACTTAGATTAAGAATAGATATAAAATAGATAATAAAATAGGCCTCTATTTGTTGGGGGCCATTGTCTTATGGGCTGCTCTCCAACATATGGTGCAATAGTGCTTTGGGCAACCCAACATTGAATCCCAGCTCGTGGTCTATTTCTAATCCATCTCCAATCCCATTTCGATCTCTCCTACACACATCTTTAATGTCTTTCTTGTTCTATCTGAATAAAGGCAGAGAGACTAAATAAATAAAAAATAAATAAATAGAAAATATAGGCCTATATGATTTCTTTTATAGCTTTGAAAACTTTAAAAGACATAACAACATTTTAAAAGACATGAATAATAATAATTTGTTTGAATAATTTCAAATATTTCTATGATAAACTTTGGTCTTTAGCCCAATTAATATAATAAAAAATATCTACATAATATTCACATAACATAACATAACATAACATAATATTAGGGCTGTCAGCGTTAACGCATGCGATTAATTTTACTATCATTAACGCCATAAAATAATTTAACACAATTAAAGCAAAATTACTAAAGCACAATTTCTATTCTAACCCTTTAACCCAATTTTGCTTCTCTGCTTGCGATCAGATCATTTTAAGCCACTAAACTCCGGGAAAGTTTTCCAATGATCCAGTAAGCGAATGCATTCAAACAATCCGTCCAAAACAGCGCTAATATAAAGGAAACCAGGCTGATTACATCAGAGATTGCAGAGAGAACAGAGACTCGTGTTGCGTATTTATGTGAATGTCACTGAAGAGTGCGAGCCCTCACATGTCACACGCACTCTGTGAAGTACAGAATGAATGGATTGTCTTCCACCACTGTATGGCCAGATGAGACGCGACTGGATAACCAGTGTCTCGATAGTAAAGTTTTGATGGATGAAGACTGCAATCAAGGTAAAGACGATTTACGTCGGTGGCGTACAGGAGTTGTACAGTACAGTAAGCACGCGTAAGTCTGTTATAATAATGCGTGTATGAGTGCTCTTGACGCACTGATCGCACATTGTATTTATGCACAGGCACAGACATTTCCTTACATTCACGTTGTTTCCACACACATTCACGATAATGTTTTGATTTGACATGCGTTTAGTTATTCTGAATGGATCCATGTACTGTAGTAGATATATGCAGTCAGCAGGCGGTTGGTTTAGAGTTTTTTTGGCATCTCCATGTGGTCCTGTTCGGTATCGCAACTTGACTTACTGTAAACAATATATTTGCTGTTGCACTATACAATTCAGATTTTTTTTAAAGCATTTTTTTCTTTCATATGTGCTTATATGGGTTCCTTATATAATTTGTTTTCTTTGGTATCCTTTTGGAGTTTCTAAGTGTTCTTATTTGGAAAGACATCTTAATTTTATTTTTGATTTTCAGAATCATCCTTCAGTCTTTTGGTTTACTTTGCTGGATATAGCAAATAATGACGATGAAAACATTTGAAACAAGATAAATGGTCTATGCTTAATTTCATAAAGTATGCGATTAATCGCGACTAATCACAGAAAAAGGGTGTGATTAATTAGATTTAAAAAATGTAAACACAATTTTAAACATCAACAAATAAAAATAAAAACTTATTTAATAGGAAAATGGTAGCTAAATTAAAGTTCACTTTCAAGATTACAAACTGAATGAATGAACGAACGAATGAACGACTGACCGAACGAATGAATGAATGAAAACATACAAACAGAAAATATTTGTGATAGCTTTAGATTTGTAATTTCAACATGAAAACTGACATAACACTTTTCTGAGAAATGTAATTTTGTTAACACACCTTTGGCAGTCCAAAAATAAATAAATAAAAACTAAAATAAATAAATAAACTACAAGATACTGTAAAAAAAAAAAGTTATAAAAGATCAAATTACTGTAAACACAATTTTAAACATTAACAAATAAAAATAAAAACTTATTTAATAGGAAAATGGTAGCTAAATTAAAGTTCACTTTCAAGATTACAAACTGAATGAATGAACGAACGAATGAACGACTGACCGAACGAATGAATGAATGAAAACATACAAACAGAAAATATTTGTGATAGCTTTAGATTTGTAATTTCAACATGAAAACTGACATAACACTTTTCTGAGAAATGTAATTTTGTTAACACACCTTTGGCAGTCCAAAAATAAATAAATAAAAACTAAAATAAATAAATAAACTACAAGATACTGTAAAAAAAAAAGTTATAAAAGATCAAATTACAGTAAAAACTGATGAAAACTAATAAACTGTAAAGGACAAACAGAAAATAATTGGAATGGAAATTAAGAAGAATAGGTACATAAGAATAGTTCCCCCCCAAACAAGGTCTGTCCAATCTTAAAATACTCTGCCAAACAGTTACACCTAATCACTAATCCAAAAGTTGACATGCTCATCCACTCAAAACAAACAAAGCAATTATAGTCCCCCTTAAGTGGCGCAGTGGCCATATTTCATGGATCAGCCTTTTGGGATTCAAACCTACAACCTTCTGGATACTATCCCAGATCTGCCACATTACGTATGTGTGCATGTGTCCATCTCAGAAAAATCCCCTCAACAGCTGTGTTTAGCAGCGCCAGCAGAACGACACGTGCAAATACATCAACCGTGCCGCCCAATTGCCGTGTAAAAACAAACAAATATGGCAGTAAATAGAAATCAATCTCAGATCGTTTACACCGTCATGGCGGCTGAGCAGAGGTCAAAGCCTCCATTCGGGGTGACTTACTGCTCCTTGCGGAACAAAGGGCAAGAGCGGCGCATTTCCATCAGCGCTTCCTCACGTATCTCCGTGTAATTGCTCCAAGAAGCTTCATCTGTCCTCCAGCTATCATCAAATCGCTTTCCCCCGGCAAACGTGATGCAGGGTGACAACAATACCCCTCCCCTCGGCCTCCACCCCCTTCCCAGCATCCAGACCTTGCACTTTTTAAACGGCTCAGGGAGATCAATCATGGGTGAAATTACTCTGTATACATTATACTCGCGCTATAGGCTGTCTTCAGCGCTAGCCGGTAAGGGCGAGCGATGGAATAAAGCACATAAATAAAGAATTCCTGCCTGTCTTCCTTTATCTGAGGTCTCTACCTCTCCACAGGATTAACTGCAAATGTGTTTACAGGGAGATTATCGGCCCCGTCAGAGGAGCCTCTCTGTGATTTGGGGCCACAGATGTGGGACAGAGTCTCATGGTGTGTGTGTGTGCCTATCGTTTTCACTGAGGGGTGTTACATTTACCTCATTTTGAACATTAAGAAGATAAAAATGAGTGAATTGTACCATGTTATGGGCCTCAGGGCAGCATCCTTTTCATTGAGTGTCAACAAGTGCACCCTAGAGTTGATTTCCAGGGTCATTTTTTTTTACTTTGGCTCACAGAGTTCCTGCCTAGTATTCCAGATGTATCACTTATTAAGTTACATGATGTATAGTAAAGCTGTCTTCAGGGTGATTCACAAAGAATGTGTTTTTGCATTAAAAAATGTGAGATGCAGGGGAGAGGAATAGGAAAAAAAATATGTCTGTCAATCGATTACATTTTTTTCTAATTAATTACATGATGTGCTGATTAATTAATCACATCAGATAATTTCAAGTCAATATTGTGTTAAAGTTTTGGAGAGTCTAGCAACAGCAAGATAGCTTGAAAGCATACGATCCCACCCTCCCTGCAAATCACTCTCCAAAGCTACGTCTCCTCCAAAACACATGAACGCGCACAGACAAACCAGAGACTAACCAGCGACACAATGAGAGACTCTTTTCATTGAGTGTCAACAAGTGCACCCTAGAGTTGATTTCCAGGGTCATTTTTTTTTACTTTGGCTCACAGAGTTCCTGCCTAGTATTCCAGATGAATCACTTATTAAGTTACATGATGTATAGTAAAGCTGTCTTCAGGGTGATTCACAAAGAATGTGTTTTTGCATTAAAAAATGTGAGATGCAGGGGAGAGGAATAGGAAAAAAAATATGTCTGTCAATCGATTACATTTTTTTCTAATTAATTACATGATGTGCTGATTAATTAATCACATCAGATAATTTCAAGTCAATATTGTGTTAAAGTTTTGGAGAGTCTAGCAACAGCAAGATAGCTTGAAAGCATACGATCCCACCCTCCCTGCAAATCACTCTCCAAAGCTACGTCTCCTCCAAAACACATGAACGCGCACAGACAAACCAGAGACTAACCAGCGACACAATGAGAGACAGCGTTGGTGGAGGATTGAATGCAGTGCTAACACTTCAGTACAAAGCGCACAATATTACAATATTAACACTTTCCATTCTCTCTGGGTTGCGCAAAGGTATGCAAATACATACAGGCAGGTAGGACAGCCTATCGTAGCCCTCGGACCAAGGGATATGATTGGATGAACATTTTATGGTCCTACTACTTCCAGAGATAAAATATAAATACATTTCAATCATGACAACTCTCTGAAGATTTTAGCATGGTGATGGATATGACAATGTTAATCTAATTGGTCTTGGCGGAATAGATCTGCTACGCTGATGCTGAATTGCTGCTGCTGTTGGTTATTGCTGTAGTTGTAGATTATTGCTGCTGCTGCTGCAAGCACGTACAGGAACTTGCTACTGC